CTGCTTCCCACCGGCCGGTTCCTCCCCGCCCCCGCACCTCCCAGCCAGCCTGGCTCCCCTTCTGGCTGGATCAAGTGTGTCCGGTATTTTATTTGAGGCCACCTAGTAACCCTATGTCTAGCTCTGTTTTGTGTTTGTGTGTGCGCGCGCGTGTGTGTGTTGCACAAATTATTGATGGTTATGCAGGTCAAAATGATCTCAATATGTTGTCTTTTATTCAGGATGCTGCACTGCACTCACTAAATCTTTTAGGAACCCAAACTAAGAACAGCCTTTAAGAAAATACACATTTTATAGTGTGTTTATGCTAATAGTGAAAAACAACTAGAGGGTTTCAGTTCTTGCCATTTTACATGCTTTATAGCTTGACTCTTATAAGTGATCTAAAATCCAAATGGTTACTTGAATTGCTCTGAAATTTGGTGTGCTTAATGGGAGTTTGAGATGTCATTGGTGATCCAAATTTGGGATTGTTTGACTGAGGAATTCCTAAATTACAGCCGCCCCCCCAACAAATTTTTTTGTTCTTACTGCCTTGTACTGTTAAACTACACAATACAAATGACTGCATGAATCATGAACCTTGTTGAGATGGAGAACTTACCCTTCAATTAACATAATTTAAGCATAATTAATCACAAGCCCCACCTAAGACAAAAGGAGTTTTGAACTGAATGGCTGAAACCTGCTGTAAGTGTGGGTGACAAAATTTATTTTAGGCAGAACATCATTCAAGTCTTTGGGAAAAAATTAGTTAGACACATGAATGTTTCCTGTGAGGAGAGGAATTTTTGAAGGTGGAAGAGTGAGGGGTGGGTGGAGAGAAGTGGGGCATGGGAAAGGGAATAAATGGGACTTGATGGTAGGGTAGGTGAGAGAGGTTGAAGGCTCAGGTGAGGGAGGTGTGGGAGCCTAAGGGGTGGAACTCTGAAAAGGAGGACAAGAAGTGATTGGCAGTGGGACTGGAGGAGAATAGGGGAAGGGGCCTCATCTTCCTCCTTGTATGTGTGTGCCCAGATCTTAGGGGGCTTTTGTCCCTCTTGGGGACCTGAGCCTACTCATTGCTCCTCTCATATGAGCTGGGATATGGGAACTTGTGTCACTAGGGGGTATCTGAGCTCCTCTTGCTGCCTCCATGTATGTTCTAGGATCTCAGGGCTCTTGCCTATTTGTAGGAGTTGAACACCCACTCCTTACATTGTTGTGAGCCAGGCTCTTGGGGAGGGGTGTTACCCTTTCAGGAGGGTCTGAGTCACTCTCTTTGCCCTACATGTGAGCCAAGATCTGGGGAAGTCCAATCCTTTGCCGGAGGAGCTAAGATTAGGCATATTTCATGGGTATCAGAAGCTATAAAACACTCATGAGGAGGATGACAATACCCACTGAGGTAAATGGAGCAGTTAATATGTCCTGACTGTTTCAGTTGTATTGATTTCCATGAGGTGTTTTCATCTGAGAACATCACATTGAGAAGAATGGGCCACCTCTGAGAGCATGACAACAGTGTGTTAAGTACAGTGAGTGACAGGCCTGACAGGAGTTACTGTCACAAAGTGGTGAATCACCATTGGCCTCTTGTGTCACAGAGACTGACAAATCTCAGGGCACTTGAAATTTGACTCTTGAGTATAATTCTACCATGATACTCTTCTATCCAAACTCACCATTGATTCAGGACTACAAATACCATTTCTTCCACATTCCAGCAAGTGCCTTTTTGACCATGAGTGGCAGTGTAGCTCTAGTTGTTTTATCACTTCGGATTTATAGTATTTTGTACCATATTCTGAATGAAGGCAGGGAAGCGAAAGTTTTAAGAGTCATTGTAAAGATAGTTGAAGACAAAAGATTACTATAAAGATAACTTCAGGCCAGACGGTGTGTGTTGGCTGCAGAGGATTCTTTCCCAGAATAACTGAAAACTATAGTTGCTGAAGAATAAATGTTTTATCTTGGAAAAGCATGCCCTAATCTCAAGTCAGTGAGTTCATAAGAAGGGATTACATTTCATTTGTTGTCCTCCCATTGTCTCCTAAGACTAACCTAATACTCGCATATAAAGTTTGTTCTTGATATGTATATGTGGCCAGAAACTACCACTGGTTACCATTGGTTGCCATAAGATCTTGCATTTTTCTGATACACTTGTGATAATTAGAGTATCTTGTGGAAAATTGAAATTTTGCTTTTAGATAATGAACTGTAATTTTGTTTGTATAAATTTTTACTGATATGGGAAGAAGCGTCTGTTGGAGTTTTGTTCGTTGTATATGTGTTACAAGTGCCTGAAGTGTTATCAGTAACTACTATTCCTTATGTCTGATTTGTGTCCATTAATCCTTTGTCGCAGAGACTGTCCAGTTTGCCCAGTATATTGGCTACACCAACAGTTTCTGTGATAAAGAATTAATGGACCACACATAAACCTGTAGGGGAACATTTTAACCTCCCTGAACATTTAAAAATGGATTTAAAAATAGTCATTCTCTACAAAGGAATTTTATCACCCAGTTATCGATGTAGACTGCTGCACTGGCATTCATTTACAAGTTTGACACCATCAACTTGGGCTTGAATAAAGATATTTACTGGTTAATTGCTACAAAGGCAATTTCCCATGCCTTTGATATTCACATGTGCACATTAAAAGCTATGAATGGCACACATCTAGCCTAACTCATTTAGCAGCCTTAACTGCTGTTGCTGCTTATATTATTCACACACTCACTGGAGTCTGATGAAGTGGGTTTTACCCACAAAAGGTCATGATACATTTACAACCGCATCTGCTCTAACCCCACTGACAGAGACCAGAAGCTTCAGGATCTCTACCAAGCATTTATAAATCTCAACTACCCACCCAGAGAAACAAAAAAGCAAATTGAAAGAGCCAGACGAATACCTAGAAACCATCTACTTCAAGACAGACCCAAGAAAACCAACAATAGAACACCACTTGTCATCACCTACAACCCCCAACTTAAACCTGTCCAACACATTATCAATAAACTACAGCCTATATTGGAACAGGATACCATACTCAAAGAGGCTCTGGGAGACAGACCCATAGTCTCCTATAGACAACCACCTAACCTCAAGATGATTCTTACCAACCACCACAGGACATACCACACTAATACCAACCCTGGTACCTTCCCTTGCAACAAACCCCGTTGCCAGCTTTGTCCACATATTCATTCTGCTGATACCATTATTGGACCTAACCAAGTGAGTTATAAGATCAAGAACACATATTCCTGCGCATCCAGAAATATAATCTACGCTATCATGTGCCGAAAGTGTCCGTCTGCTATGTACATTGGACAAACATCTCAGACACTTCGCCAAAGGATTAATGCCCACAAAACAGATATCAGACAAGATCACAAAGAGAAAACAGTTTCTTGCCACTTTAACCAGAAAGGACACTCTCTAAATGACTTAGCCACCTGCATTCTGCTACAAAGACCTTTTACATCTGCACTTGAAAGGGAATCCTCTGAACTGTCATTCATGTTAAAATTCGACACTTACCACCAGGGACTTAACAAGTCTTTGAACTTTCTCACCCATTATCAAGACAGTTTCCCCAATTATCACCTGTAATACCATTAACTCACAAACATCCCACTCTCCCTACCTCTAATATCATCAATTCACAGACACTTACCTTCCTTCCTCCCCCTTCCCACCCCCCCGCCTCCTCCTTCTGTTCTGCAATGTGATTTGTCCTTTTCATATTTGTTCTTTTTTTTAATTGTATCCTTTGGTATATATGGTTGTGACTACTTTCTTCCACTATTTGATCTGAGGAAGTGGGTCTGGCCCACGAAAGCTCATCATCTAATAAACCATCTTGTTAGTCTTTAAAGTGCTACATTGTCCTGCATTTTGCTTCAACTACCCCAGACTAACACGGCTACATTTCTATCACAGGACTGCTTGTTATTTTTGAAGTTACAGACTAACACAGCTACCCCTCTGAGACTTTTTACGTTCAGCAAAATAAGCAAATATTACATAATTTATAAACTTAATTACTTTAATTTTCTTACTTTTACTCTAGGATACCAGATGGTCCCATTGATCAGGGGCCTGCTGCAGGAAGAGTACATGCTTTAGAGGAGCAGCTTTTAAAGGCCAAAGAACAGATAGAAAATTATAAGAAGCAAACAGGAGATGGTTGGTAGAGAGATGTTTTCTTTTTCTTATAAAACACTGATTTACCATATCATAAATGTTTCAATTTCATCACTTGCCACTTCACCAGAAATGTTGACATGTTTATACTTTTTAATAGCAGGCTTGGGGAAAGACCATGAAATATTGAGAAGAAGGATTGAAAATGGAGCCAAGGAACTTTGGTTTTTTCTGCAGAGTGAATTGAAGAAATTGAAAAATTTGGAAGGAAGTGAACTCCAAAGACACATTGATGAATTCCTATCCGATTTGGGTCACCAAGAAAGGTACTAATGCTGATTGTTACTACATTTTTATTGTATTAAAGACTACAAACTGATGAAGGTAGTCAAACATTTATTAGATTCTTTGCAAAGGGGGGAATTGCTACTGTCTGGATTATAATATCATGTTAGGGACAGTAGCAAATTATATCTCTGTTACAGGTGACAGATTAAGACTGCTGATTTGTCTATTAAATCTTATACATAAGATGGAAACGCTGGTTTGATATTTTTATGTATATTTTAATTTATCAGTGTGAACTGTCATAGTTTATTATGGCTGCCTACTACTACTGTAGTTACCTCTCTCTCTCTCTCTCTCTCTCTCTCTCTCACCTAACAAAACACACAAAGCATTTAATTTTAGGATTTTTTTCATGATTTCATAATGAAATGACTGATATTGTTCAATAACATATGGCATAACAGGAATTGCATTAAAATGGGAAGATGTCCTGATAATTCAGTACTTAAAGCCATTTTTTATAAAAAAGCTATTTCTCCTCCTAATTAAAGGTTAACAGAATATTTAAGATACAAATGTAACTTGGCTTTAATTGCATTGCCTATCATTGTGCTGTACAGAAAAACTTGAATGGTGTTTGCAGTTGAAGCTGATCCTGTGCCTTTCCCATTACTAAAAGTGTCTTTAATGTGAAATTTGTCTTTCATGTGAAATGAAAACATTTCAGTGGTTGTGTGTTCATGCAGAACAAAATGAATCTAAGAATCATTTTAAATACAGTGAAAACTGTCCTTAGGCTATTATATTTAAAAGCTTATGTTCCCAGTAGGATTCTGGTTACAATTACTGTCTCAGTGAACAATAAAAGAAAAATTGTTATGTTAACACAGTTTACCACTGAACACTGCTCTCTACCCCTCCCCCTTTTTAAATTAAACTAAGAGATCCTCACACATTAACATCAATGGTAGTGTTAAAAGGAGTTCTGAAAAATGATCTCGTCTTACAGGAATAGCTAGTAAGAATTTTCTTTTCTTTGAAATTAATTTTAGCAATAATTATGACAGTGAAATTTTCAGTTAAAGATAGTGTAAATTTAAATTGTTGGGAGAGAGTAAAGAGACATTGTCTACTCATTTTTTAATTTCATCCTTCTTACCCAGAATGTTTACAGTTGCATACAGTTTCAGGACAGGGCCCATTAGATCAGCTAATCTGAATTATCCCTATATGGGCCTTTTAAATAATATTTGACTAAAGGAGTGGTTCTCAACATATTTATCATTGTGGGCTGCATATGTGACCTACAGTATGTAACCTGGCCGTAGGGGTTGGGTGGCAGTGCAGTGGATGTCAACCCGCAGCACCCCCAGACTCCCATTATGTGTGACCAGGCAGCAGCCTCAGACCCTTAACCCTGCCGGGATTGGTGGGAGTGCTGGATCACATCATGTGGCTACCCCACTACAGAGGACCACACAGGGCATGAAGGTGGCAGGGCTTGGTGGCAGCGCTGGGCCCCTGATTATTTGGGACCAGGTGGCAGCTCTAGGTCCATGATTCCCTGCTCTGCAGGGCCTGCCAGCAGTCACAGGTCCCCAACTGCAGGCCTTGGACCCTTTAGCCTGTGGGCCTGGAGGTCTTTAGCACATGGTTGGGCTGCTGTTGTGTGCTAATTGGGCCACAGGTTGAGAACTACTGGACTAAAGCATAATTTGTCTTTGGCTAAAGCGTATCTTTCAGGAACGCATCCAGTCTTATTCTGAAAACATCAATAAATGGAGAATTCCCCCCTTTATAGTTTGTTCATATGGTTAATCTCTCCCTCATTTTTAAAAAATTGTACCTTATTTCTAATTCAGATTTGTCTGGTTTCAGCTTTCTGCCCTTGGTTCTTGTTCGGTCTTTTTCTGCTAAGTTAAAACTCCTTCATAACCAGCATTTTCCTGTGAAGGTACTTGCATGCTAATCAAGTCACCTCTCGGTAGGTCTAGACTATAGAGCTTTTCTGGTATACCGGAGATATTCCAGAAAAGCTCTGCTGCATCTAAGGAAAGCATCTACTTTTTGGGGTGGGGGGGGGGAATTGGAAAAGCCGATGCATTTTTCGGCATCCCTGTAAACCTTGTTTTACAAGAAAGAAGGGATGTTCCGAAAGAGGGGTTTTTCCTTACATTTGGCCCCATGTAGATGGGCCAAATATCGGAAAAGCCTCTTTTAAGAAGAAAATCGGAAAAAGATACGCAAATTGCAATTTGCGTCTCTTTTTTCTACTTTTCTTTGTAGTGTAAACATAGCCTGTCTTTTTTCTCCTAAGCTGTTTAGGTCCCTCCCTTTAAGGCATTAGTTCCAGTCCTCAAATAATGTTGTTGTCCTTTTCTTTTTCCAAGCTGGCTGTACAGTTTCATCTATGCCATGTACAGAGGTAGATCTCTATTACTACTCACTACTTCTTTATTTATACATTCCAAGGCTCTCATTATATCTCTTTGTCCTAGTATCACACTGGGAGCTAATGTGGAGTTGCTAGTCTGCTATGACTTCAAAATGCTTTTCAGAGTCAGTGCTTTCCAGGATACAGCCTGCATTCTTTTTTCTAGATGTATAACTTTGAATTTAACTATATTGAAGTGTGTTGTATGTGAATAGGCTCAGCTTACCAGCAGTCTGGATTGTTCTTTGTGGCTGTCAGGTGGTCTTTGTTATTTACCCCTCAACTAATTTTTGTGTCATGGGCAAATTTTATCAACAGTGATTTTATAATTATTTCCATATTTTTGATAAAAAATGTTGTATGACATTGGGACTAGTTCTAATCCGTGCTGAACCCTACTTGAAAAAAACCCAACAATTAATGATTATTCTCTATTGATATCTACTTGAGATCCATCAGTTGGCCGGCCCTTAAACAATTTAATATGTGCTTTATTGATATTGTTTAGCACCAACTTTTTAATAAAATGTTGTGCAGTACTAAGGAAAATGCCTTACACAAGTTTAAGTACATTACATCTGTGCAATATGATAATCTGCATGGGCCCATTGGTTCCAGGTGGATTTGTATAGCCTTCATTGAAATTTGTGCTGCCACAGCTTCACTGTTCAATGAACCAAGCTAGCATGATTAAAGCTAAATGCATTCATGACCTGTGATTGTAGTCCAGACGTGTCCTTGGATACACAGATAAATTATACAGATAAAAAAGGACTAATTACATTTTTATTGAGAATTTCTTGTGAAATTATTGAGGTGAAAAGAGAAGCCAGAGTTTCCAGAACCTTGATACAAATTGTAACAGCAGCAGTTGGTGCACATAGAAGGGCATGTCGAGATAGTTAGTTTGTGGCAAAATGGGGTGTAAAGCTAGGGTGCTCCGGTGTGCTGTGGATTTACTTGTGTGTTCCTGGTTGCTACATACAAAAAAATTCTCTAATGTTCTTAGTGTCTTAGTATTCTACTAGTGACTTTCTGGCAGCCTTTTTCCCCCTCCTTTTTGAAGATTCATAATTCTATCATAAATGTATTTACTGGAACAGCATGAAGAGAAAACACCTTTTATATAATCATTTTAAATGGCAAGGCACAGTGTTTCTTCCATTTAACTGTTCTTTTAAAGTAGAGGGTAGGCAGGGTTTAAATAGATCACTTTTTTTCCCCCACCTGCAAAACTTCCATGCTTAAATTCTGTAATTGATTGTATGTGGACAGTTCTGTGCCCCTGACTTTACTGTGCATTGGAGTCTGTTGGAAGATAGTCAGTTGCATGACTGAGGCTTCACTGATTTCAGGTGAATTATGTGAACCTACTAAAAACAGTATTTGTCACTTTAGCATTATTATCAGTTGTTGTTATAAGCCTGATCTGAGAGACCAGATATGATCTAAGATGAAACTAATATGGACCTAAAATGAAGTCCTAAATTCTAAATTTGCCAATCAGCCAACACTCCCCCAGATAGTACTTAGAGGCACATCTTCATACATTGGTTGCTGCAACTCCAGTATAATTCTTCTTTCTCAATATTCCAGCGTACTGCATTGGTGTTTTCTCAGTATTTTGAGGTATTTGCTCATTGCTTGAAGGGCTCTTGACTCCTCTGTTTCTGAGCTTGAGTGACTTTTGGCTATTATGCCTTGACACTTTGGCACATTTGCTTCGGTGCTTGGCACAGCTATTTCAATACATACTGGGTTTTAACACATGCACACATTTTCTTGTTTCTTCCATGCCACTAGATTATTCAGCAGTTTTTTGTGTTTCCATTCCAAATGCCATTTGAAGGAGGTTGGTCTCTGGCTTCAAGTCACAATCCCATGGCTTAACAATGTTCAAAAAAATGACAATTTGCAGCATATACTGGGCCTGGAGTCGTCCTATAACATTCATGGATTTGAAATTGTTCTGAAGTTGTCATCCAGTGCAATCAAGAAATATGGGGAATGCCTCTAAATTATTAGTTTTAAAGGAATTCATTGTTCTAGAAGGAATCTCCAGGGAAACACCCAGATCCTGAGGCAAGGTTGCCTCACGGTACATCTAGACTGTCGTGTTTTTTGGTATCCTGGAAAATCTCCACCACGTCCAGAGAACGCATTTGCTCTTCCGCTTTTTTTGTGTGTGAAAGAGCAAATGTGCTCTTTCAGGGAGCCCTGTATAACTCGCTCTACAAAGAATAAGAGCTCTTACAAAAGAGGAGGCTTTTCCACCATTTTGCCCCATCTAGATGGGGCCAAATGGCGGAAAAACCTCTTCTGGAAAAGCGATCAGAAAAAGCTACGCAAATTGCGGAGCGCAATTTGTGTAGTATTTTCCAACAAGGGACTGTAGTCTAGACCTAGCCACAGTAAGTTGAAGGAGAAATATCAGGCTAATTCCTCTGAATACTGCTGGGAATCTATACAGGTGATACTCACAGAAATTCTGATTCAGATCATTCCAAGAGAGGTGCAGCAGGGCAGCCAGGCCTCCAAAGTCCCAATCCAATTACCCCACAGTGCAGAACACTGACAGGGAGGTTTCCTGTTAGGGGTCACCAC